GAACTCAGAAAATACATTGAGTGACTTTTTGGAAAAGGTTACAGAATACAGGATTAAGTTGTTCATTACATTTCTGCAAAGTACTGCCTTTCAGATTGTCCGGGCCTGTCGATTTTCAAGTATTTATTTGCAAAAACACACGCCCCACGTGTTTAGATGTCATAGTAAAGGGAGACACACCTGTGAGCCCAATGACATTGTAAAAATGGGTTCTGCTGGGTCACTACTCTCTAACTGAGCAAATTCAGTTCATTTACATGGTGGGGTGTGTACTCAAGTAAGCTGTTACTATGGGGAACCTGCCCAATCAATGTACAATTTTGATCTCATGCCACCTGTGCATTATTTCTATTCATGAGTTTCTCCACCTTGGATTTATAACCTCTTTTAACCTGTTTCAATTCTTCTTATATCATCCTTTGAATCCCTTTCCCTCTCAATCTACCATTACCTTTGAATGCAAACTCTTTCTCCACCAGCAATATTTTCATCTTTGAGGTCACCCAGGGGTTACTGTTTGCATAGATAAACATTTGTTTAGATGGGATCACATTTTCAACACAAAAATGTATTTAGGAGGTGCTAACACAAGCTTGGGCATTAATATCCTCAACATCACTTTCTAATTTGGACATTTGGATTTCCAAAAGCTGGACACTTTAGTCATTCTGCACATGCACAACTCTTGTCTTGTGCTCCAGCGTTGTTAAATTCTGTCAGTACGATGGTAATAAGTAAAAAGAGCAATTAGATCAGATCATCCTGTCAGTGGTTTGATAAAAGCTTCATAGACATTCTTAATGTTTCTATAACTAACATATATAATGCTCTAGGTCCTTCTAGGTCTTGATCTGTATCCTTTTACATAATCATAATAATTAGGGGGAACTGGCTTCAGCAAACAGCCATTAAAATCTCCCAGAATTAATTTGGGGGCATCAGTTGATATTAACTCAAGGTCTTCAATATAATTCTAAATAATTTCCAAGGCAGTTTTATAATTGGCACCAGGAGGAATATACACAAGAGTTACAACCACCTGCCTAAACTCTTGCGGCAGGTAACTAGGTCTTAAAGAAACAGACAGGAGTTCCAGACCTGGTGAGTTAAAGATCAAAACGTCAGATCAAAAAGTATGTATTTCGCTATCTTATACTATCTGTGGGTCTCTTGCTTATTTCTTTACCTTTTTTTTCTACTTCTCTCTTCTTCCCTTGCCCTTTCTTTGTTTCGCTATGGTGTAGTTTAATACAAGTCTTTGTTTTTCCTTTGTCTCCCAACACATTCTCTAAGTCCTTTTCCAAATGGTAAATTGCATACTCACCAAATACAGTCAGATGTAGTTTGTGTGCAGCTTGGCTTCAGTTTCTACTCTCAGTCATTTCTGGATTCAATTTATATGACCTGCAGGTAGGACTATGACACTCTTCTTTAAGTACTTCCCATTGAAAACACTGCCCATAGTGGCATCACAAAAGTTATAAAAACAGAAATTCATAGTTCAGAATGAAGTCTAAACATGAGAAACTAAACATCAAATATTTACCTTCCATGCATAAACCATTACAAGAACATTCACACATTCTACCAATGAAGCAAGTGGACAGAGTTATAGCTAGAGAATCCAGTTCATATCCAAATGCTGCTGCAGAAGGACTCTGGCACATGTGATCAGGACAGAGACAGGAATACATGAGGGAAGAGCTGTTATTTTACAAAATGCTTTACATTTGACAGGGTGCTTTGTGCAAACAAACTTGGACTGGAAAACACAGGGTGAGTGCCTACAGAGCAGAGATACTCCTACCTGCACTGTGGCAGCTGTGTCCTCCAACAAGCTCAGTGTGCAGGATCTCTCCTTCCAAGAAGATGAAGTCTTCAGGTCTGAAATAAACCACAGTGCAGAGCTCTCGATTAAAACTGGAGACTCCTAAATTCTTTCACCTCACTTGCATGCTCTTGTGCAAATGTTGCCATTCTGCATGAATGTCCAGATCAAGCTATACTCACACTTCCTGTGTCTTGTGTTTGTACGGTGGCTGTATCATTGATACAGCACATCTATTGAACTGTTACATTTCTGCATGAATGTCATGAATGGCAAAGCCTACTTTACGTTTAGGTAATAGCTAAAAACATTAAAATGTGTTTTTTTTGTTGTCAATTAACAATGACACAAGGGTAGAAATGCAATCAAATTATATTCTTTTTAAATATTTCATAGCTTGTAAATGATGCACTTTTTATGTTTTCACTGAAGTTACATGATGTATAGTTAGTCTTAGCAGTCAAACCAAAACCTCAGAGTTTGCACAAAAACAACATCCACAGATGTCAGAATAAACACCACACAAGATACATACAAGAAACATTTCTATATATCTGCATGCCTATATACACAATTATGTTTGTAAAAGATGGATTCTGTTGTCAAACATGATACTTATTAGAGCTCTGCTCTAACTTGGTTGTGGTCATTTTAATGCTAAGAGTATTGATGAAGATGTAAAAATGATTCAGAGGTTAGAATGTGTCTTTCTGTAATCCTATCAGTTCTATACTATCAAGAACTTCAAACATATCCTCCATTCTAGTGTGATATGAAAATTATCATCTAGCATTGTCACTATCTACCTAGAAAATGATACAATTGGCTCCTCTTCTTACATCTGGCCAATAGGAATTGCCTCTGCTTATTGTCCAGAAGAAACAGGTATATGAACAACTGACCAATAGGAAATACAGGTACTCCAGCTCCCCAGCTGACAATAGAGCTTGTATCTGGTTTCTGAGCTTGGTCCAATAAAAACTCCTCACTTCTTCAGTCAGGAAGTGGATCTGGAAAAAAAGCAACAGTATTACGATTATGTATCCTGGTCTCATATTACACAAGTCTGAGCTTACTCAGAACTGGTACAGAACCTGGAACTTCAGACTATTACTACAAGTTGTGTATGGGGTGGGAAAGACCAGTAGGTGGTGCTCTTCCATCTTATCCCTTGCTGTGAGAGGTTCAGTCATTTGAGCAAGATGTTAAAGCAAGGTACATAAAGATTAAAATGTAGGGGTGTTAACCTTAGACTCCTGGCTAAATTTCAGTCTAGACTGATAACCTGGGCTTGTTATTTTTTCCCCAGTCATTTATTTTCTATCTTCTCTGCTGGGAGAGTTGTCAGTTGATACCTGAGTGGTTGGTTTGTCCACTTTGTATTACTGCATTTCTGTGACAGATGAAGTCAATTCCAGCCAATATGTCAAGTACTAAAAGCACTATTTACTCAAAAGGACTTTGTCTTGTACTTCAGTTTTTATGCAGTAGTGAAATGACTACCCCATCTTCAAACCATGAAGACGAGACCGTTAGGTCCTGAAATGTTCAGGTACAGCTCTTGTCAAACAGTTTAAGTATTTTCAAGGAAAGTCTGCATATGTATTAATGTTACATTACCAAAAACACACATGCCTGCCCCCAACTCCCCTCCCAAATGCCATATCTAAAGTAGCAATACAAAATATCTAAGGAAGAATGGTGCCAAGGAACACCCAACAATTAAATCTGATACTTTACTGAAATAGATGTGCTCTATCACTGCACTTTAGAAACACAACCGTATTTGCTCTCAATTAAGCAGAAACTCTCTCAGCCCTGGTTTTTTGGAGCTTGAGCGCAGCATGTTCTATACTTAACTATTAAAGGATTATTTAAGGACCTGGACTAACTATGCAGCTGATGTAAATTTCTGAAAGAGCTTCAACACAAACCAGAAGACCCTACAAGGCAAGGAGCTCCTATTTGAGAGTGAACAAATTTCTTAACAGCACAGTAGCTTTCCCCTGTGCTCCTAGTTAAACAATGGGTGACTTGTAAAACCCACCTCAATTGGCATTTTTCCAGGAAGAGGTAGGGAGATCCCTGCTCCAGCCCAGCCTTTTGCAGAAAAGGCGTCTTCAAAGGGTCGAAGGTTCCTGGGCAGGCTTATGGTGGGGATGCAGGGCAGGGTCCTTACACAATTCCGATTGCCAGTTAAGCCACTCCACACGTTTGAATTTGGCCCTACAGCAGCTGCTGAAAATTGCCTCAGTTGAGGGGGTAACAGACTAATTCCAGCCAGGAAATTATCTCCCAGCTTGGCACCTTGGTTGCTGTGCTCCAACAGCACCGATGAGCCTGTGCTGCCTTGGTCCGGTTCAATACTAGTGTTCTCCTGCAGTTGCAAGTCTCAGGCTATTTAATCTGTGCATTACAGGTGTGACAACTGCATCACAAAAGCTACTTAGTGCAAGGAGTGAATTGTCTCTATTAAAACCTAACCAGTTCATATCCCAACTTTCCCTCATTATTACATGTTAGGATACAGCAATCAAAAAAGCATCAGTGATTATCCAATGGTACCACAACACCAGAGGACAGAGTTCATAGACCTTAGTGAATGTATACAAAAGAGACCTCCAGAGACACCTTAACTTTATTGCATAGGCATGATACAGTTGTTACAAGGTCAGGGTCAAGGACATGACAGAGGGTCAGAGGATCACTGTACAAACCAAATAGCTTGGGTCCACATTACAGATGCAAAGTTGAGGTTGCACCATTCCTATTGAAAAGCTTCTCCGATTTCCCACGTGATCAACAGGGCTTCAGGCAGGGGAAAAAATCGAATGAATCCTCCAATGAATCATGCATCATTAAAATAAACTTTTATAGAACAGTAAGTGTCCTGCTAAAGACTTTAGACCCAACAGCTCGTCTACAGATTTCTAAATGCTTTCATTCAATTCCGGTGACTCTCAAATACTAATAAAGATTAAACGTACTAACTGCGATTACCCTGATGTCCATAGGACTAAAAAAATGATTTTGAAACTTGTAACTCAAGGTGGCTTCTGAAAACATGCTCGATTTATTCCACACCTTTTCAGGTGGAGCCAGGGGAAAAAGCTACCCGCGCCGTCAGTCTGTAGCCACGCCCACTCGAATGACATCGCTCGCAGGCCACGCCCCGCGCACCTGTCCGCCGGGTTCTGCGAGAGAGAAGGGAGCTGGGTGAGTTTGCTCCGCATTTTGATTATTTTTCCTCTGCTTGAATGTAGATAAAATGTAACTCATGTAGTTATGTAGTCTATACATCTCCGGAGAAGGGGGGGTAAAATACTTATTTTCGTTGGAAGCTAAATAGCACTTTTCCCCAATGTCTTTTTTTTTTTTCAACGCTTCGCTTATTTTTAACCTGGCGTTTGTGTTACACAGACAACGCATGTATTTATTCTACATCGAAGAAGAGCTCTGTTGTAGCAGTCAAGACATTGCTGTATTTGCCGAATGAAAGCGTATTTTTCCGCATGTTATCTTTATCAAACAATTCGTGAACTTTGTGCGCAAAATCAAGCCTGTGAATTTATCCAACCCGAAAATAGCCTTCTGGGAATTGTATATTTTCCAGCGTATGTTGTATGGTTATGTTCTTATATTTGTCGTTAAAGTGTTTCAACGAATACGTTTTAAGTTAAATGTTGAATTTTGCCGTTTTTGCGTTTTCAGTTGCGTGTCTTCGGGCAGGACAAGATTCGCATTATATAATGGGAGTATAAACATTAATTAATTCCTTTACACGTATGTTATTGAAATAAATTCTGCGTTGTCCGCCCTGGTGAACACACCGTTTGCTAATAAACGTTTGTTTTAAATGATCTTTAAGTTGTCCTCTTAATACATGCGTTCTTTTGTTTCCAGTGTGGGGTCTTCGGGCAGGACACGCTTGGCTCAGCTGCTGCAATGATCAATGTAAGTATAAACCTTACTTATTATTCGTTTCGGGTATCCTATTGAAATATATTTTGGATAACGTGATGCACTTTTTCAAAAGAAGACTAGGCGATACTAGAATTCTCCACGACAGAACTGGTTTTGACACTGTCAGCCTGCTGTTCATAGAAATTATTTCGTTCTTTTGATGCGTATAATACATTTATGAATATAATACATATTCATAAATGTCCGTTTTGGCTTCCAATTTGCATCACAACAATTAAAACAACGGAGTCTGTAAAGAGTTGGATTCATTATTCATGTGTTAACTGTTTAATTAGCAGGATCAGAAGTAAATAGTCACTGTTAGAGGATTTGAAGTCTCAAGTGTCTGGTCATGCAATGGGACTTGTACACGTCGCTCTTTAACAGCAGAGTGGCCGAGTGTGATTGAGAAGGCAGGTGCGGTCAGTCTGCAATTAGACTTCAATTCGCTCCTTTATAGCAGTACTGGGACCGGATCGCATCTTCGCCTTTAAATAGCGAGTTTGGAAGCAAAGAAAGTTTCTAAAATGTACCGTTTATATGGAGCTGCGGGATTCTGGGCTAAGCCTGTCGGTCTTTCTCGAACCGGGTGGAAAACGTAATAAAATCGGGTGTAAAGGTAGATTTCCAAACTTACTTTGTTGGAGCTATTTGACGGGCTGTAGGTTTTGCGTCTTCGACGAAGAGAAACATTAAATTGTGCCTTCAACTTCTTTAAGCTGCTAGTTTTTTTTTTAGTTTTACCTGAACAAGACGCTGTTTTTTTTGTTGGCATTCCAGGCTTCTGCTGTATCCTGGCGAGTCTCTGGGCTCTGATCGGCGGCTGTCGGATCCTCCAGGGCGTGGAGACCTGATCGCAGACCCACTCGTGTACCGCGGTGGATTCACAGGCGAGTCCGGGTCTCTTCTTCAAAGCGGACTTTCAAGCCGGCTTCCTCCAGGACTGAAGATCGCTTTCAGGGTGGCGTTGTAACTCTTACCGGTATCGCTGACTCTCGGACCAGGCGAGTCAAACCGCTGGTACTAGACCCGGTCCTGTATGCGGCCTTACTGTGCCCTGCAGCTCCGGCTGGGTTTTCATCCTCCGAAGGCGGTTTGCATGAAGACGCACCGACCGCTCTGTTTAGCTTGAACTGGGGGAAACTTGTAACTTGAGTTTGCGGTAACTGGAGCCCAGCCGTGTGAGACCCGGCGAGAAAACGGTTTCCAACGGTGCGAGGAGAGAGAGAGAAACCGCTTATCTGCTCCCAAAACACCACCTGCTTCTGTCCTGCCCGAAAGGTTAAAAGCAAGAGATTTAAATTTTGGCTCAATCTCTCGTAGAAAACGGTTGCTGGATTTAGCAAAATCTGTAAGAAACATTTCATGCGTTTTTCTTTTTCGGCAGCCCAGCTGAGCACCTGTACCGGCAGAGCAACGGGGTGACAGCCGAACTCCCCCCCCCAAGATCACCCCCTCACTCGGCGTGGGACGGCCCCTATTTATAATCCGAATCCTGGTGAGCGAGAAAAGGACGGCAAAGGTAGCTAATTAAGAGACACCGGGGACCGAGCTGGGACTTTGGATACCAGTACAATAACACTGCTATATATTGTAATTGTTTTTATGCTTTCTACCCTTGTATGCTGTAATAAACTGCTGTGAGTGTTAATTGGTCTGATTATTCCGACACGGTTTGGGGGGGTGGGGGTTCAACAGCCTGCGGGCACCGGCGTCGTGTTGATCAGGGAGTCGGGGAACCGGGAGCCCCTGTAAGGGAAGGATGGTGACTAAAATTGGGGGTGTGTGGCTAGGTTTAAGGGTGGGGTTCAGCATTAATATTGTCCAATCAGCTTGTTGAGGGAAATGGGTGTGAGCACAGCCGATCACAAGAGGGCGCTTTGGGTTCAAGAGAAAATCGCTTGCAGGGAGAGCTACGCGGACGCGAACCCGGTTCGCAGGGGTTTTATGAGAGCCAGGGGTTTAGCTGAGTGAGCTATACTTCGTGCTGGACAGAGTAACTCCCTGGATATACTTATCTGGCCAAATGCCGCTAAAACCACAAAAATGTATCCCTACACCTCCTCTCGCATTTCTAAAAGTAGTTTCATATCTACTTTGGTTTGGGTTTTATAAAATGCTCTGTAGCCTGACGCCAAGATCCGAACCTGCACTCTCACCTGACCGCAGACCAGCGCCCTTCAAGACAGGCTTCAGCGTCGCCGGAAACAAAAAAAAAAAAGCGCCGCCAAACACAAAAGCATTAAAACTGCGATTCATTTCCCCCCGGCAGACCAGTAGGAGACCCTTCTATAATAAAGACAGAGCTCTGCTGGCGAAGAGCACAGCTGGACTGGGGGAAACCACAGCACAAATGAACTAAATTAAAAATGAAAATTTCAATTTTATATCTATATATGAGAGAATATTGAAGATGGTTGTAGCTGCGCTGAATCCTGCAGTGATCTGTAGCTGCCGATTCTGCAGTGTTCAGTGAGGTTGTCAGTCCTGCATAGAGCATAGGACTCTGCTTTACTATGAAAGTTTTTTCAATGAGTCGGTGTGACTCCATCTGCTTGTATTGAGCAGCTCTGAGTTTGACAGTGTAATGGAATTAGACTTGAATTATAAATGTGGATTATCAGGCTTTACTTTTCCACTATTCTCTAAAACGCTTCAATTTGATCATTGAGAGAGAGCACACCCATCAACACAAAGAGTACAGTTTCCTCCACAGACACTGGAAATAAAGCCCAAGTGTTTGAAAGAGGTGTTCACAATCCCATTTTTAAGAACAAAAATAAGTTAAAAAGCACACGATTAAAACTTGGATCAGTAGCGTTTTAATATGTTGAAAACAGTACATTAGTTTAGGGAATTATCAGAATGAAGGAACAGTCAGTTGATATCAGTGTCCATTCCCGAGACTGGGTACAGAGGCCATCCCTGAGAAAATACCCACAGCAGTGTAGGAGCAACTCAGACAGAGGGATCAAAGAGGGCAACAGTTTACTGCAACAGAGATCGTCTCCTTTCCAACACAGCAACTGACAATACCCCTCATCATATTAGCAATTATAAGACTAAACAGGCAGAGACAATCCAAACATAAAAAAACAGCACACCGAAGCAATAAAACAGAGATGGAATGTAAGATCTGTACAGGTACATATAAAGCAAGACATGTTTAACAGATATCCAAACCGTGATATATTTATTAATAATCACTGACATGTCTGAAAAGATAAACATTTTAATAATAGTCAATTGAATATTTTAATAATCTTCTTTATTTTTAAATAAAGATCAAACCAGAATCTGTATTCTCTCTTTATCTATTCTCAGACTGTAAAAAATAAAAAAATAATGTAACAACCAAAACACACAGGTCAACAAGTAATCTCTGTCTGTCTCTGCTGTACCAGTATAGAGCTACAGGGAGAGAGACTGGAGCTAAACCATCTGGTTTGGTCTCTTCGGTTGCTGCCGATATAAAAA